GTAGTAACAAGACAGAGTTCCCATCGTCTTGGAGGTCGATCAGGTGGCGTTCTTTTTCACTTGCGTGAAGCGAAGATCTGATGTTGGAATATCACACAGGTCGTCTGACAGGTAGTTGGAATATCGACAGGCAATGACCCAGACATTGAGTTGGAATATATATATAGTTATATATACATACTGTATATATGTAGAACATACATCAGGAGAATGTTTTCTCTTGGCAAAGAACTCCAATATCAAATCATTTGCGGGTTCCACGGGGAAAGTCTGATCATCGACAGCGGGCAGCTCAAGCAGAACCAGCCATCGGGACCCTTTTTTGATGTCACCGTATGTTTCATCTGCAGCTTAGAAGAGTTCTTAATATGTCAAAGACAAAAACAGAAGGTACCCTCAACGCGCAGTTGGTATCATGAGTGCGGACTCTGCATTTGGCTAGTGAATGCCGTGTTGATTGTGATGATGCCCCACAGCACGTGCCTTACCCTGCGGTTTCACGCCAAACCGGACGCTGCTCTGGTCCAGACTCCAAGCTAGACCATGTTAGACGGTTAGACTCAGCTGTCCAGACCAAGGAGTGTTTTCCAGTTTTGTCTATACAACTAATTCAATATTCCTGTATTATAGTTTCTAGGCAAGTTCCAGTATTTTGAGTTTTAGGATTCATGCTTCTATCCAAGTTGAGCCACTACTTAAAAAAGTCATCAGAGAAGGATCTAGGGATTCTGCAGCTTCAATTTTGCAGCTTCATCACGACCCTAGTGATGGGCACAGAACGGGGTCACGAAGGTGGATGCCCACAGACGATGCATTTTGTGTGCTCCTATATCCCTTGGAGGTCTCCCGCTCGTGTTTGCCTCCGTTCGTCGCCAGCATCATCGGTTTTTTAGCCCCCTTTTTCCTCCATTCCGAATTCCCCAAACATTCTTTGCAACTGTTTAAGGAAGAGATCACCTGCACGGATGCGTAGGAACTTGTGATGCCTGTGTGCTTGTTGTGTCAGCCTTGCTAGTTGCGCACGAATGACGACTGGACGACCTCTCTGCTTGCTTTTCCGTCTTGTTTGGTCGAAGTTCTTCCCCAAACGCCATTGTTTAAACCGGAGCGTGCAAGAAGCGGCACCCGGGAAAAACATGCGCGCTCCGCACGCTTCAGCCCCATGCACCAGCTGCAAAATCTACCCCGGGACCGTCTGGCAGAATGGTGCGGCGCCGGTGCGGCCACAGTGGTGGCCGAGGACCACCGTGGTGATCGCTCAAGCCCCCAGACGCTGACCGTCTGGGCTCTTGGGCACTCGGCCAGCGGGTGTGGTGAGCGACGTTGGTTGAAGATGTGATGCCTTTTGTTGTCAGATGTTGGTGCGTATTAGAAGAGGGAGACTTCCCTCAAGGAAAACAAACCCAAACCTCTTGGGGCCAAGGGGTCTCCTTACTAAATGACCAACCTATGTTGAAGCTTCTCCTCTTCTTCTATTTCTTCAGGTCTGTCTTCCGCAAGCTCTCGAAGCACACTTACCTAGAAGTTCTCTCAGGTTTCCTCCGAACTGACTGGTGGCCGTACGAGGTCGGTTAGGTCGTACCGTTTGTCCGACTGCAAGGGGCTTCAGGTTCCATGATAGGGTCACATGGTCGCGGCCGTGCATTCAAGATCCTGCAGCTTGAACTGGTGCTATAACATGTGTAGTGCAGTTCTAGCGTCGCGGGTCCAAGTGGTGCAGGTCCGGTCCCCAAATCCCGAAGAGCATGGTGGACTCCACCTTGGGCACAACAAAGCTTTCAGGGGGAACCACAGTATTTGGCGATTTTGTCTCTACACTCCTTTCCGCTGCTTGTTTTGCATATCTCTCTCTCTCTATATATATACATCTTTGGGAGCACGAGGGAAACAGAATACTGGCTGTTCTGAAAACCAGTCTTCTCATTCTTGCAAAAACTTGCAAAAAAGCAACTCCTTTGGCACTTTGGCAAAGGACAGTCAGCTTCCCAACTGTAAGAATCCAATCATGGGAACTCGGAACTATCATGAACGATAAACGGTTTCTTCATAAAGGAGCATGTTGTTGCTGTTGTTGTTGTTGTTGTCGCTGCTAACGTTTTGCAGAGGATTTTCGTGGGAAAAGTCTGAATCATCTGAAGATTCGGCTGACCAACGCGACCACCCCCGACGTCACCTGAACAGCGTTTGGAGCCAACCGGAACCTGGCAGACATCGCCGCCCGGGACCAACGGCAAAGCTCACATGGTACAAACGAGTATCGGAGTATCGGAGTATCTTGGTCCGTCCTGGTATCCCAGAACTGTGGGCAAGTTCATCATCTTGCTATTTTGCCATTTGTTCTCCCCCCAATAAATAGCCCCTGATCATGCTAGACATGATCATGCTTTGCTTTGAAGAAGACACACCATTCTGAAGTTGTATGTTTGGTATCCAAGATCAACCTTAGCTAAAGAGACACAAATATTTGCAGTGCTGCTGCTGCTCTATGTTTTTTTTTTTTAATATATTATTACTTTTTGTTTCTTAAAACCATTCCAGTGCGAAGGTGCCAATGTACTGTACATATTTGCCTCTACCAAACGTATATATAGGCAATGAATGTCAGAAACTCAACTCGAGTTCGTCAACATTCTTGGAGGATCTAGGCCCAGCCCAAGACTTCCACTGACACAAATTTCAGAGACTAGCGCAGGCAGTGATCCTGTACCTACCCCACTTTCTCAGATTCGAGCGTAGGCAGGAATTCTGCACCTGAGGCTTTCCATCACTGCATATGCTCGAAGTTCTCCATATTTTTTGAGGATCTTTTTGTTTGAGCCTGCAGTGGTTTCCTGCGGCTTTCCGTTTGACCAGACCTGGTCCGGCTTCAAACCCAGAAGGCGCCCTGAAGCCGGAGGCAACCTGAACCCCGAAGTTTGGCAGCACAGAACAAGAAGTTCGCGTACAGGGGCAATGCTGTTTGCTCGGCAATGGGCTAAGAACATTCACACCACGTATTTGACAAGCTCAATGAGTCTGTGACAAAGACCAACTTTGCGCTTCAAGCTGAAAGGGGTATCGTCGTTGGCAGCACAGAAGTGTTTAGCTATATACAGTACTTAATTCAACTTCTACTGCTTGCCATGGAAATATCAAAATATGAATAAACGAATTCATGGCATTACAACTAAGGCAAGACTACAGCTGGCTTAACATAAGTCAAGTAACTGTTTTCTGCAGCATTTTTTAGCCATACTTTAGTTCAGATGTGAACTGGCATATCAAAGGCTTAGCCATCCGAGGGATAGTCAATTTTTTCGATCTTCGCTGATATCTGGATGTGACACCCAAACTTCTGTGACAACTTACAATCACATGTCCGAGTCCTTATCTCGACGTTGACTGTGGGCCCCGGCTTGCACTTCTGCGGCATTGGCTGTGGCCCCCGAAACGGCAACAGGCGCCAGCGCCTGTGTGTGCCAGGCCTTTTTTTGGGGGGGGCCACAGCGAAGTCCGAAAGCATTTGGTCAGAGCGACGCTGCTTTCTTTTTTCTCGCGAAATGGCACTCTGCTGGTCGTCCGTCGTCCTACGCGCACCGGAATGGCTCCAAAGGGTCTGTTGTGCCAACCTTTTGGGACCAATCAGTTGACGTTGAATGACAGAGGCGCTCGCGGTGGTTTTTGGTCCTTTCTTGGCTACAATATGGGGCACTGGGTATTTTGTTGTTGAGGTCCACCCGTCATGTTTGGGCCCATGGGGTATCAATCTGTGGCCAGGCAGTGCCGGAGGTTCATGGGGCGGAAGAAATCATCGACGACATCGATCGCCTTCACCTTCCGCGGTTCCGTGTGCAATTTTTTTGTGACTGAAGGGGTAGATGTCGCATTGGCCAAATTAGGGCGATCGGTGTTGAGTCAGCTGAGCATTCGACTTGGGACATCATCCAAAGGGCCATGCCACCTTGCAGCTGCTCTAAGCAGGTCTGTCCATACTGGTTTGCAGGTGGATATTTCTTCAGGGGTTTCCTACGAGTTAGGAACCTCGGACTGTTGCTTCATGACAACATGCCCCGGATGCCTTGAGATTCTTGTCTGGTCCTAACCTCTCAAGTGGGTGAACAGTGAGAGGTACTGGGTTCTTTCGCCTTCGTCGAATTGGTGCTGGCTTCGGGGGACATCACCTCCCGAGCAGTTCTTTGTTTGCATTTTTCCCGATTTCACTTCTTCACAGACAGAGGACACTCCCAGCAAGCCCACCTTGGCAAATGCATCATATGCCTCGGGCGAGTTCAGCCTCTCGAACAATTCTCCGTTGCCTGCTGAGACGGCCGTCATTTCTTCAAGCTTCCATTTGATCAAGAATCTCAACGACGGACTGAAGCTATTGGGACTCAAGGGATGAACCGGTGAATAACCACCACCGAAACCTTATCGTTCAAGGAGACCGATTTTGGGGAGGAAAACGGCAACGGCAAGGCTCATGAGGCTCATGGCTCAAATCACATCATTCTGAAAGTTGGACATTTCTGGTCTGCTTGTTTGAAGAAGTGCAATTTGCCTTGAGATAGGAATTTTCGAGTACCTCTAGGACGAATCTCAGCTGTGGTTCTAGCTACTAGACATTTCTTTTTTGATCCGCTTTCTTTTCAGAAATTAGACGAAGACTTTCCAATTGGATCGAAAAAAATACGTGGCCGTCCATATTGTTCGGATGGCTCTTTTGGTCACCAGAGCTTTTTGAGTGTGGCTTGGAGACTAAGCTGGCTTCTCTCTTGGCAGGACTCCGTACTGCCTCGTTGCGTGCCGCACGCGCCCCCTTTTGCACAAAAAATATTTGCGGCGTTGACCGTTGACCGACGTGGTTATCCCACCTGCGGAAGCATGCAGTGTTTGATGCAATCACAAACTCTTTTAGAACTTTAAGCGTGTCGACTCTTCAGTTGCAGTTCTTATCAGTTCTTCTTCTTCGCCACGGGTCAATCCTCTTCGCCCGAGCCAATTCCCCGAGCTTCCCGTGCGAGGCCAGTTTGGGTGCCAAGGCTGTGGGTGTCGACCAGGGCATTTTCTGGGAGTGTCCTGCAGGGGTTCAGGTATTTTGCAGTATGATCCTGGTGGCCAGGACGCTTGAACTTCAACAGCCCCATATTCTGAAGCCAGATGCATTTTAGCACCCTGCCTGTGACGTTAGGTTGGATTGGTCATCTGAGGTCTTCGCTTTTGGACCTTAGAGAAGAGAGTTCTGTGTGACTTCACACATCACTGGGACCGCCCCGGGTTGGTGACCGGGTGGTGTAAGCACAAAAGGAACGATGGGACCGGTGGTTGATCGACCTCGGACGCCTCCCTGTCTCCAAACCGTGTACACACCCGTCCGTTGGGTTCGGCTCGGTGGATCCGGGTCCGAAGACTCGGTGTGGCTCACTCGGTGGGAGGGCACCCTGCTTTCTGAGACATGTTCCGATGGTCATCTTCCTACTCAACTGGTCCTTGAGTACTGTAACCTGCTAAAACAGTTAAATCAAGCAGGCCTACTGTAGATAGAATATGGGGGTGGCCAGGTCCAAAGACTAGAACTCTTTGGGCGGGAAACCTTTCGTGCGCCTCGCGGGGCTCAACTGTTGGGCCCTGCGGCTCGGAATCGAACGTCAAGGGTATTCGGTTCACCAAAGAACATGGTGTGTCGGTTCAACATACCCCCCCGAATGGCAAATATCACATCACCCGTTTTGGGGGATGTATGTGCATAATTACTTGGAAAGGCTTTCTTCGTAGCTACTTTGGGCCGAGCCCGAATCCCTTTTCTGGCACGATGCCGTCGAGATGTGGCTTGGTACGGTGATGACACATTCTTATCTACTGTACATTCTACATCAGACATATCTACGCACATTTTTCTTTTACGCTTGGGCTGTTTTTGATATAAATCCAAGTGGGTTAGAACTTGGAGCATCCACTCCCTCCTTTCTGTCATCACTTCCTCTACTGCATCCGCTTCATCTTGCGTCACAAAATGACACCCACTGCCACCAGCGCCAGGCCTTCTGACTTGTTGCGCCTGAAAGCGAAAAGAGACCATCATGCGGACCGTCGACCAATGGACCAATGGATATGGTTTTTGTGCCTCTCCTGCCATCCCGCTCTATCTACTAGAGAGAGAGAGAGTAGAGCTATGTTTTCTGACAGAAAGTTCTTGTTGTTCTTTTGGCACCTCATCACGTAAATGGACTTTCAAGGAATTTCTAGGAACCTGGGGAGCATCCTTGAAACCCAAGACAGGGCGGCCACAGACCCCTCAAAACCTCTTTGACATGGACATCGACGTGACATGCTTGGGAGCCTCAATGTCGACTCTTCCAAACGTCAAGTGATCAATGACCTTCTTGGCAAAAGGGTTGTCGAAATCCTCTTTGCTGTGACATAGGTAAAGTGAGGAATCTAGAGCTATCTACTTGGCTTCACCAGGTCCCTTGGTGCAGACGGTCACCAATTTCATTGGGCACATGGTTCCTTGTCCCAGTCCCATTTGAACAGCTCGCCCACAATGTACTTGGCTGTGGGGACACAAGGGACTTGGCTGCGGGTCCAAACCCCCGCTGGTTAACCCCGGGTCATGGCTGAACAGACTCCTGGTCTGTTCGGGATGTCAACCTTCCATGGTTTGTGCTGCTCCTTGGGCGTCAATGCCGCCCCTGTATACCGCCCCTATAGGTCTAGGACCGGGTACAGAAGGAGGTTTGTACACCAAAGACATAGAGAATCGAAAAACCATGAAGAAGAGGACGCGTGGCAGGAAGTTGCAATCAACCAGTCAAGCGCAGCTTGAACAAGTCACAGACTCACAGAGGAACAAAATCACGAAAAGCAACGTCCTGCACTGTGACACTGTCGTACTGCACTATCTGCACATAGTACTATGTGTAGGCACATGATGTATGCATAACGCCAGGTTTCTCGCCCAGTGTAGCTTGATGACGGGGATTTGATCAACCAGTTGGCAGTGGGCATCTAAATGGTTTGTAGGGCGAGGTCTTGACCCATGCCCTGCCAGGTCCTATTCAACACGAGGTGACACCAATGAAGCGATTTGAGTGTGGCTTGTGCAAGATTCACCCATCCTTAAAATTAAGCAAATATCATAGTGCCAATTCAAAGGAAGCATGCATGTTCAAGGTTTTATCCAGCTGATTTTCAGTCCAGATTCTATCATTTTCTGAGATGGCCCGAACTCGTGCCGATCGAAGACTTGCCGGGGCCGTCTTTGCGATCAGAGTCTTACCATGTCAAACACCATGATCGCACCCATGGCGTAGTAATGGTGAAGGGAGCTACAGGAGGCAGACATCAACGGTCTGAAGCTACCAGTCCGCAACTGTCATGCCCACTCCACAAGCTACTCCTTGACGTCGAGAACTAGTTTGTCCAGCTACCATAGAGAAAAACATCCACTCATCCTTGTGATCAATGGCCAAGCTACCTTAAGCCTGGCCTTATCGAAATTTGGGTTTTGATGTGGGCTGCCAAATCCGCTGTGGGCGAATCCACTCTCGCACTGTTTTGCCATCCACGAAGGTCACACCCCAACAAAAGCAGCAACGACTACAACCAGGTACAATCAAACATTGAAGCTCAGATCCCTCTTTGACCCCGAGACCACTCCTCTCACCTGAAGCAGCCTTCGCCATCACCGGGGATCTTCTTTTTCAGTCCGCGCCGATCACCGAAGCCATGGCAGAGATGACAGGCGGTCGGAGTTTGACTGGGAGGTGTGACTGGGCGGTCCGTGACATTTTTCACTGGAAAACCTCAGTTTCAGCCTCAGCCGCCAGTTTTCCAGTAGCAGTGGATCTTCTTTTCCCTCACTAAAGGGTTGTTTTGGGGGTTTCAGTGTGTTTTCTCCACAGGCCTCGCGGCCTCCAAAACACCCAGAGAAGAGTGGAGGGAATTTCCCCCGAAGAACGAGGGTGGACATCAGATCTGGGTCTTCGCTCCTTGTGCACATCATGAAGTCACGTTTGCGAGTCCAGCATGGGGTGACTGGTCGCTTCGCTCTGAACCCAAGAAACTCTTCGGGGTTCGCTATTAGGAACAGGTGCCACGCTAGTAGTAACAGGTGCCTTACTAGTAGTAACAAGAACGCTACTAGGAACAAATATAAACAGAAACAATAAACTGATTTTGTTCCTAGTAGCGTTCTTGTTACTACTAGTAAGGCACCTGTTACTATTCGCGTGGCACCTGTTCCTAATAGCTTCTTGTTTCTGTGTTTTCGACTAAGAGCCGGAGGTCAGGGTTTTCAGCCCCCGAGCAGTTGGGGATTCAGATGAAGCCTGCTGGTTTGAGATCCTCGTCCTCGTCCGCATCCTCAACCTCATCCTCATCCTCATCCCCATCCCCATCCTCCTCCTCCTCCTCCTCATCATCATCATCATCATCATCATCATCATGATAATCATATGACTGATGCTTAGCAAGGAATGAGGGGATGGATCCTAAGGTATCTATATCTATCTATCTATCGATCTATCTATCGATCGATCGCTCTATCTATCGATCGATCGCTCTATCTATCGATCGATCGATCTATCTATCTATCGATCGATCGATCGATCTATCTATCTATCTATCTAACTATCTATCTATCTATCTATCTATCTATCTATCTATTGACTGACACCAGTCCGTCATCACCATACCACCCATCGCTGCCCTCTGTGCCATATCGCCCATCCAGGGGGTACAGACGCGCGAGCCAAAGTCCGGGAGTCCATGAAACTGCTGGGCAGCTCAGGGAGATGGTTCTTTCGAAGTACGCCAGCTGTAACGACCAACCTGTGAATGTAGGAGGGTTTCAGAGGCTGAATTGCAAGACGCACTGAGACACCTGGAACAAGTTGAGTTGCAATCTTGATCATTTTCTTGTACCATGGGGTGTGGCGAGCTTCCTCGGCTTGAACGGCTCGACTAAGAGCTGACTCAGACCCTGAAGATATGGGTGTGCATTAAACAAGAATAAGGATACCTCCTTGTTCGACCCCCTGGAAGAAGGAACATAGATGTACGTAGATCAACACCTGTTTTCCTCTAGGCCAGAGGTTCTTCCTACTCAATTACGCCCATATGGAGAGTTTGGGAGATGAGGACTTAAACCACCTTGTTGGCCCGAAAAACGTGTTCAAAAACGCTGTCCACGTGTTGCGGTAAGACCCCCCAGGGCGGCCAGTCGGGGGGCGTCTCTCCGGAAACGGAAGCTGGGCAGGTTTCATGAATCTTTGAGGTTGCCAAGTGTTTGAGGTGTTTCTTGCATAGGAACAGCACCATCTGTGGACCTGAATCAGGAATCGACAGGTGAGCGCATGGAATCAGCAACGCATATTCCGCGCCTCAGTGAGGCTACTGTGCTGCAGATTCGGTGTTTGCACAACAACCCCTTGACAGCAACTACACTTGGAGGCCTGACCACTACTCATTAGCCTTCAAATGAACCAAGGCGGAGCAGGAAGATCCAGGATCACAATCTTGAGTTGACAGGGTATTTTGATCCAAATGACGGGTGTTTCATCACCCCGTTCCAAATCCCCCATTACTTGGCTTCTCTTGAAAGGCGACCAGATTGCACCAAATTGGTCGCTCACAGTCGAGGCTGCTGCAGAAGGGGTCGAGTTCGGTGGCGAAGCCGGCGACATCAAAGCCAACTTCGTTGGTCGAGGCAGCTGGATCTGCGTCGGGTCTGAACATGCCAAGAATCGACCGGACGGGCTAAAACCACAGGACTGGAAGATGGGGCCGTTGGAGAGGACCGAACCGTCCACAGGCTTCTTTGTGACTCCTTCCGCCTCGGAAAGGACCCTTTTTTTAGCTGCAAAAATGGCGGGCTCATCCCTCGGACATATAAGTTGCCCGGAACAGCTATTAAGCTTGTAATTAAAGCAAAAAGTGCCCTGCAACTCAAATATATATATATATATATATAGTTCTTCTCCGGTGCGTTGACATTGATGTTTCTTTGAGATCTTCCTCTAGACGCCCATGATAGAGGATTTGCCCTTCAGACCGGTCGTTGCTGAACACCGTCGTGAGCTTTGGAGACCTTACCCATCGCTCAGAAAGAGATGTCCGTCTGCTTCGCATGTTCCCACAGATGCGTTTGCAATGGATCTTATTTTTGGAGCATCAGTTATAGTAGATGGTATATTCTAGTTGCACTCCCTGAAACTGACATGGAAGTGGATGGCATGGCCCCGAGTTCGGAAGACCATGAAATCCTCCACAAACAGGGGATGCCACGGTGCCATCCACTTCCATGTTTGTTCCAGGGAGAGTATTTACAGTCACTAGTTGTCTTTTCTTTGTTTCTCGTCCAGGCCTTCCAAGGTCTTGGCTCGCTCGCTTCTAAGTGCGGACTGGGTGGCCAAGCCTTAAGGACGGCGGACTGGGTGGACTTTGGACTGGGTGGATTCGCCAAGTTAAGATGTTATGAAGGGTTTGGTGTATTAAAGGGTTGGGATATTGGAAGGCCTTTGGTACTGTACTTTCCGATGGTGGTATATATAATATTAATTACTGTATATTCCCCCTGTCAAAAACTACAGGGCGGGCCAGCTTACACCATCCGATGCCGCCACCAACGGCGGATGTCGCGCTTTCTCGCGCCAGGCGGGACACGCCGCGCGGGACTTTGGCTACAGTAAGTTTGAGCACATTGGCCGGGAGGAGGACGTTGGGAGGACGAGGAGGAAAGAATACCAACCGTAGCTCTTGTCCGGAATGTGAAAGGACAGGCTCATCTTTGACGCCTAACCTGGAGTCCAAGCTCTTTGATTGCTTCAATTTCTAGAACTCTTGCGAAGTGGATCCAGCGGACCGGGTGCTTTCGTCAGTTGTCCTGACGTCGGAAACCACCGGACGCTGGGTTCGCCATGAAGACGTCCTTAGCGACTCTATCGACTGACCCAAAGAATCAAGGGAAAGCTATTACTCAGACTCATCTTACATCTTCCTAAAAGAGGTCAGCCTCATTTGGATGGTCATGGACCACAACCTCCGGCTTGGAATAGTTTGCAGGGGTGTCTTTTTCATGGTCCGGCTTCGGCATTCAGGCTTTCGGGGGTGTAGGTCCCATGATGGATTAGCGAAGCCTAGTACTGTAATTAGATGCTGCTTGTTTCTAAAAAATGGTCGAAGATCTAT